AAAAATAAATTATTTTGAGTAGTGAATTTTTAAAGAATGTATGGTTGAAAAGTAGGGAAAAACGTTGGGTATACGTGTAGAGTATTTTATTGTTTGAATGTGTGGTTGAAAATGAGTATATAAAAAAAAAGTTATGAAAAATTGGGAGACAAACAGGGCTGAATAAATTTGTAGTTAAAAAGATAAAGAAAAACCACAACATGTACTTATAAATTATATTTGAATTTGACCGACTCAGAAGCACTATCACATAAACAAGGATTATTAATTGAAAATAACTCCTAAGTAGAAAGGAGAGTAAAAGACAAGATTAATCATTAATGCATTCCCTCTGCAATTAGTACTACGACGTTTGAAGATTTGAAGTCTGCAATGGACGAATCATACTCGAAATTGATTTCCACTCTTCTTTTCCTCTGAATTTCGGATTCCTAATCAATAGTGTATTCGGAATTTTTTCTTCATATATAATGATTATTACCGTAATGCATGTAGCAGAAACGACGAATAGGAGTAAGACGAACTATTCTCCGCGGTAATTGGTGTTTTCAATTGATTAAAACATTCAAACTCAGCAATTTGCTCATTCAACTAATCCAACTCGTCGATTACAGTCATAAAGGTAATCAAATATTCCTCCTCTAGATTTCATGTAATCACAGTTTTCTTATAGCCGGATAGTATATCAGTAATTCTAAGTTTTGAGTCCTTTTTGATTGACCTTTTTTGTGGACTTTTTGTTATTTCAACTCACCTTTGATTTATTTTGAAGCTATGTTAAATTTTCATCTATATCAAGCGGTTTTTTGTTTGGTAGAATTTTAGGTTTTACCATCTGAGATATATTGAAAATAATACACAAAATAAGGCAGTTTCTTGCTTGGATTAAAGGGACAAGAATGGTTCTTCCCGTCTTTCTGTAATTTCTGTGCAATTTACAAATTACCTTGTTGAATCTCTCATTGCATCAACGTATATCCTTGTTAGCAATAAATCCATACAATCTCTAACATGCCTAAACAAGGTAGTCTGTCAGTTCGTGTGGCTGATAGGATGATTTTATTAGGATAAGAATTTCGTAAAAATACTTGTTACAAGTTAGTAATTTGCTAGAAATTCCACTGTTATTTTTCAGACCAATGGCTGCTTCTAAAGATCCATGGGTGCACCAATATAATGAAGCGGCAAAACTTGCTGAAGATATCACCAACATGATATCTGAAAGCAGTTCATTTCCCGCAACAGGGCTAGAAACACAGCGATATTCGGCTTCAATACGGAGGAAAATTACCATACTCGGCACCAGACTTGATACCCTAGAGTTTCCGTCAAAGCAGCCTTTGTAAGTTTTCTCCATTGAACAGGCCATCGGATAAGGATGTAGATGCACAACTTGCTCTTATGTTAGAATAATCAAGCAGTTATCTAAATTTCACAGTAAATTTGATTGACATACTGGTCATTGTGGTAGTCTTTTGAGTGCTTCTTGGACCTGCGTTTCTTATGCTTGTTAAACCTGTTCTTCCTTATATGCAGGACAGAGAGAGAAATGAATCGTCGCAAGGACATGCTTGAGAATTTAAGATCAAAAGTAAGCCAGATGGCTTCGACAATGAATATTTCAAGCTTCGCGAATAGGGACAGCTTGCTTGAGCCAGAAAGTAAGCCGGTTGATGCTATGAGTAGAACAGGACTTGACGACTCTGGGTTTGTTGATCTTCAACGACAAATCATGAGAGGTTAGTTTCCGTGAAGATTTTAAACTTTATTTTCTTTTTTTTAATTTGTTATGTAGGTTTTCTGTGGTGTATCATCCGTTGTTCGCTTTCTATACAGAACAAGATGAGGCTCTTGAGGAATTGGAGGAGACAATTACCAGCACCAAACAAATAGCTTTGATAGTCAATGAGGAGCTTGATCTACATACAAGACTAATTGTGCGTGTTTGATTTGTATATTTTCACTAACCCAGTTTTATTATCTTCTGAAGTTACTGATTTTTGAGTTGTCTGTTTGACATATTCCGAGCAGGATAATTTGGACGAAGATGTTGATGTTACGAATTCCCAAATACAGGTGATATTTCTAGTCTTATCATATTATCAGATATCAAATAACCTTATCGAGCTATTGGATACATTCTTGCTAAAATCAATGAGTGAGTACTTTAATATCTGGCACATTTTCTGAAACTTAAGAGATATCCGAGGCAAAAGTCTTCTTGCATCGACAATAAAAATAATGCTCGACAGCAAAATTACATTAAACTAGGATCATTCTTTCAAGCTCTTTAAACTTTGGATTGACTAATGTGACTTCTTAATGTAACATTAATCAGAATGAGAGCCAGAGGAGTACAAGGGACTCTACTAGCATGCCCCTATCTTTGTGTGTTTTTCTAATTTTTCATTGATTTTTTGTGAATTTGATTTACTTTCCCTTTTTTTTTATCTCTGTAACGATAACAGCTAGTAAGGAGGAAGCTCGCATATCTGAATAAACGCGCAAAGGACGGCTGCTCCTGCTCGTGCCTACTTTTATCAGTTATTGCGATCGTCGTTTTGGTTGCTGTTGTACACGTGCTCTGATCAAATATTCATGAATACTCGTGGAACTCGATAGGCTCCTGCACCTGGTCTTTCGCATGCCCTGAAGATACATAGACAGCCTCTTCATCTAAATTACAAAAAAAAAAAATAATAATAATAATAATAATAGTTGAGTAAAATGGTGACTATGCCCCACTTTGACAGCCATTTTTCTGAGAAGAATGAATTTTTGAATAATAAATTTATGGAGAATGTCTGATTTTAAAAAAAAAAAAAAAAAGGTTATAAATTTACTTGAAAAATATTTTATTGCGAAAATATATGATGAAAAATGAATATAAAGAGAAAAAACTTAAAAAGAATAGGTACTATGTTCATAAAAACTAACTGTATATACTTTTATTATGGTCTTATGTACATCAATAAAGTAGCAAATTCCTTTGTAGTACTTGTGAGAAATGCTTATAGTTTCACATTCTGTAAAATATGAATATGTCAAAAAAAAAAAAAAGTTGATCATTTTACTGTCTATGGAAAAGGGGGGGGGGGGGGGGGG